ATATATAAATATACATATACATATATACATATATATTCATGGTTCTATACATATATTTGGGTGTGTATGTTGAAGTACTTTATGCTTTCACGGTGGCATTTGCGCAAAATGTAAACGATGTTTTCACGTTTAGAATTAGTTTTCTATAGCATACCTCATATATGGCGTATGCATCGTGTCCGTGTGCAATAGTGGTCCGAACAACAGCGCGTACGACAGCGTTCATTCCCGGGGCATCGCCTCCACTCGTGAACACTGCAATTGCTTTTTTTTCGGGCATTTTGAAGACGGTTTTTAGCTCCCGCTTCTAATACTTATGTGTATGCAATCTGTGATAGCAGTAAGCCCGTATCCGACTATGATTGTAATGTTAATTTCATATATATTGAGTAGCACGTATGGATATTAGCCTCGACTACGCGTGCTTGATTATATCTTTGAAAGCGAGTTCTCTGTCTCTCCTCCTTTCGGTCTCTCTCGCTCTCTGTAGGGACACTCCTAAATAGTAGAGAGTTTTGCAGTACCCTAATATTGGCGAAAGTGATTTATTTTAACGAATAAATACCATAAATGGCTAATGTTCGTGGCTTCTGCTTTTAATTGAGGGCTATATATAGATTATTAGTACAAAAGTATGTTTATTCTAATTTTCGGGATCAAATCAAACTGTACAATTTAGAAGGCTATGAACAAACCAAGAAAAAAATAGAAGGTTGGAGTTAGCACAGTAAATACTCGGATTCGGCAATGATGCAATCAAATATTGTGCTCAAAGTAATCTTGGCCCGACCATTTTCAGGGGGCTATGCCCCAGCGCCGATTAGTTTTGCATGTTTTATTATTTTTATTATATTAATTGCTTGTTCGCTTCAAGAAAGACAGATTCTTCAAGCTCGAGCTGTGTAGCTCACTCTAATGAAACTTGTCAGCAGAACGTATGGATTCCAAACACATTTTAGAAGAACTTGTTTCTTTGAGATTTTACCAATGAACACCAACTCGTTCTTATGCTGAATTAACCATGTTTTTCGAAATTGAGCATTGCATACACCAGGGTGTTACGATATAATTCAGCGTTATTGTTTTTCTCCAAACAGGTTTCTATTTAGAACACTCTATGTATGTAGCGTATTGTACTGCAGTAGTTGTCTTAATTGTGAAATATGAGGTATGAGGACTACAAATTAAGTGCCAGTCATGTCCGACTCAAATTAGCTACTTAATCTTGCGATAGCTAGCTTACGAACCTAGATGGTACAATTAAATATCACGGCAGAATTACGGTCTTAAATGCTAAAATTCTAGTAGATGTTTAATTGTACTAATTTTGTGGCTTGACATCACCCATTTTCGCTTGCAAATGTGTCAATTTTTAGCGAGGCCATTTCCTTCTCAATTTCTCCAGTATCAGGTGATTCTTCTATGATATCTGCTTCGTGCGATTCCCTGCACGATTCCAGTTTTGGCTCAATTGACATCGATCGCGATGTTGTTCTTTCAAAGCCTTCTACACACCAATCTTGCGGAACACGCATCACGCTTCCGTCTGAGAAATTTCGATCAATTTTCGTTCTCTGTACCATTTTGTTGGGGAGAGACCAGCTTCGTGGTCTAGGTGTAACATTCTCAAATTCCATTTCAAGCGCATCCGCCACTTCCGTTACTTTGTCAATTGTTGGCGGGGTGCTCGGAATAGACAATTGGCGAAAAAGTGCAGACCTTAGCTTTGGCGACCACGCTTGTGGATGCTTGTCATTGTGATAGAATCGTTCACTGACTGCGGGCGGTCCACTGCCGGTACGCGAGAAAGATTTTGATGCACATTCTGCGCATGGGCTGCTGTTCGGAATCGACACTGATTCTCTTATTGGTGCGGACAGGGTTGACCGTAGATTACCTCGTGGCATCATTGTGTGAACCCGACTTGCAGCCGGCTTTAACCTTTTATCCCTATGGAGATTCGGTGTAGATGAATGTGCATATTCGCGTCGAAAGGAAACATCAGGGACATTGTTGGGTTGCTTATCATAAACTTCATTTGAAGACGAATCAGGACTCGGTTCTGAGCGTATCAGGGTTGGCTCGTAATTGAAAATATCCCCGGGACCACCAATGCTCGCTATGAAAAATTTCGAGACCTTGCTTTTTGTGGCACGCAGAAGTGCCACAGAACGTGATTTTCTTTTACCCTGTTGACTTTCGATTAGAGTGCGTCGACAAGAATAATCGGCGTTTTGGGGGGTATTGGTGGTGGCAGGACAGCTAAGTTTTCTATTTGGTTTCGCATCTTTTGAGTTCATACATTCTCTCTTAGAGGCTGAAGGAACTCTGTCTCTCATTTCCATGATGCCTAGCTTATCTGTATACTCGCATGTGAGTGATATTTTATATCGCACACTTCTGTTTATATTACATTTTAGTTCTTAGTCATTCTGGACTAAATATATATTTATATTTATATATATATATATATATATATATATATATATATATATATA